AAGTGAAAAATAGAAAATAATAGAAAAAATTAAATAAAAACTGAGAATTCTCTATAACCCATACATAAATAAAAAAAATAAAAAAAAAAACAGAACATTATTAGCGTTAACAAAATATTATATTGAATTTTATTAATTTAAGATTAACCAAGCTTTCCCATTTGTCAGTATTAAACCTATTGAAATCGGATTGATCAGCCAAGAAATAGTAATTAGTTGCTAGCACGGCCATATCTAGGGTAACTCCTAGTCGATCAGTTCTGCTATTGCAGCATCTCTTCCTTGCGTTATCAGCGGAAATGTCACAAAATTTGTATATCCGAATCCGAAATAAAAATAAATATAATCCTCATTAAAATGCGTAGTTAATACGATTTTAATGCAAACCTAATTTGAGGCTTTTCAAACTCGCCTAGCCGCAAAGCAGACAAAGTATTTAAAATCCCTCAAATCGATTCGCTACGTGAAAAAGCTGATACAATTGGGAAATGTTGTAATAATAAACTTAATAATAAAATCAAATTTATTTGATTTACATGATATTAGTTTTGCTTGCTTTTGATATAGAAAATAAATAATATAATATAAATGATAGAAAATGAACAATATAATATTAAATATAAGATATGGTTATAGATTGACTACAGCTTCTACTATTACTACTACTATTTCTGTAGTTTTATTTGAATTTTTAAATATTCCATTTAACCATCGAGTCACAAATATTGTTTGAATTTTTGCTTAATTTTTTTACTGCAATTTTTAATGGCTTTTTAGTCTGGGGATTTATTTATAGGTTTTCTTTTTTCCTATCTGCTGCCATTTGTTAACAGTTAAAACTATTTTTATCTGATATCATATTCGCTTCGTTTTGCATTCAAAAAACTTGGCAATATTTAAATATCAAATATATGAAATGATATATTAAATTATGCCCCATTCAAGTTTGTATATCAAACTCATATATACATATATATATATTGTTATATAAAACAAAAGTTTGATTGAGAGGAGAAAGTATATCTATGGAGTTCGAATGAGCTGCTGATTGAAATTGAAACTGTAAATAACTCAAACTATTGTAAATCTCTTGAGAATATATACATATTCTACGCTAGTTATACCGTAATACTTTTATATATGTTATAGAGAAAACCTCTATTAAAGATGCACATCCCATCAATGTGCCAGTCGTACCAAAGATGCGGAAATGGGGAGCCATGGGAGACCCCCCTTGGCGTGGCATGCTCCAATGACACAAAACGGCAAGAGCAACTAGATATATGTGAATATATGGGTGTATATTTATACAGATGTATGGGCTACCTGCACAAGAATAGGTGTGAATATGTATGGTATGTGAATATTACCTAACTGAAAGTCTCATAGAGAGATGGAGTGAGAGAGAGAGAGAGACAGAGAGACCCATCAAAGGTGAAGGTGGCGTGTAATATTCGTGGCGTGTGGCAGGAAGCAACGATTCATTAATAAATACAAAAGCAAAAAAACAAAAAAAATATTTAGCGAACTACAACAACAACAACAACTACAACAACATCAGCAAACACTTCAGCATTTGATTTGGTTCGTTGTGGTTTTCATTTCGCGGTTTCATAACAAATTACGAAGACACTAGACGTTTTTACATATATCTATAAGCATATCAACATATACATACATATACAAGTCAACTTGGGTCTTCATTAACATTAGTCTATTGGCATATTATATATATACATGTGTGTGTGTGTGTGTGTTTGTGTGTCTGTCGCATAACTGTTTAACTAGTTAAACTTAAATAATTGCCAAGCACTGTCTGTCCGTCTGTCCGTCTGCCCGTCTGTCCGTCTGTCCGTCTGCCCGTCTGCCCGTCCATTCATTCACTCCAACTTTAAGCGACAATTTGCGCCAGCTCTTACCCTCCCCTCCATCCCATGGAGCTTAGCTGCTCTTATGGCCAAATACGTAAGCCTTCTACCACATATCGCACTCTCTTATTGACTCTCACTCTCGCGTCAGTGCGTGCCCGCGTGCATTTACCGTTAATACCTTTCACTTTCCCTATTGTATCGAACCATCTTGAACACATAGAAACTTATATGGATTTGCTGTGCGTTTTGGCTAAGAGAATTCAAGAATCTTTAAATGGCTTTTACGGCGTGCTACTTAGCTATTAGCCATGGCTAAGTAGTCATCACAGCATTTGTTGTAAGAGAATATCAAATTTGACTTGTTCATCAATCCAACGAATTCCATTCCAATCTTTATGATCTAACGGTGCACGGTTTAAACCCAAGCTGAAGCTGACGCTGAATTTCTCTGCTTCTGCGCTTTTTGGCCTCGTTTTGGACCGCGCTCCAATTGGTGTCAGCTGGAACCGAGAGCTGAGCTGAACTAGTTGAACGCCCGGCTAAACTCAATGCCCCAACTTAGCGACCTTCACTTGTTTCCCAAAAAAAAAGGTGATACATATGGAGTTTTGTCACTTCAGTTTTCGCATTGTCCATGGCTCGAACCCCACAGCGTCTCTCGAGTGGCTCGCCACGCGTCACGCATGCGCGTTGACTTTTCAAACAGAGTCGCATTTTTTCTCGCTTCTTTTTTTTTCTTTTTTCTTGAATTTTCTATGAACACATCGTTAATTAATTATGCTTGCTCTCACTTTTTATGATCCTACGCACTATTTATTAGAGCTCATCATCATTATTGTCAAATTAACTTTGGCTTATATATTAGCTATGATTTTTATAGCCGTTGTAAATGGAAATGTTTCAATGAGAATAAGCTAGTTAGAAATATATAGATTTTTTGGAATATACAAGGTCTATACTATTTACAGTTAGAAGAAGGCATGACATTAGCCAGTATAAATATTTCGGATCATCATAAAAAGTTGGGTTAAACTGAAATTCTATGAGTTTTTGAGCTCACAGATCTCGTAAACTATTTGGGTTACCGACTTGATATTTGAAATATATATATTCTTGCATACATTATGCAGTAGAAACATTTCAGTTTTCTCTCAAACTCTTCTGATATMTATTTTTATATTAAATATATCATTCTTCCCTTAAACTAATTTTCTTTTTTATGATCGAGAGAAATAGAACAAGTATAAAAGATATAGACTATACACTTAACAGTGTAACTTTTATCTCTTTTCTCTCAAACTCATTTCATAACTTTATTAGCAATACAAATAGAGATTTAACCCTTTTTTCACGCCTAACCTAAATTGAATATAAACAATTTCGTTCATTACTCACACCTTCTCTGCTAATCTTTCAATTTTCCTGCAGTGCTTAGAAAGTAAATCAAATTGAAATGAAAATGAATGAAAATAAATACAAGAAGAAGAAGCACCAGATGAAAAAAGTTAGCCAACTGAAAAGTGAAGATCATTAGACCTTGTTATGAACAATGAAAGAACTGAGTTAATTCTGACAGTCGAGTCGAGCAGTTTGCGCACTCTGCAATTAAAAGCAGAAACAGACTGTGCGCCATGGCTAACTTGGCCAATTGGGCAAAGTTAGAAAGCGCCAAGGCTAGGCAAGGCAGCAATTATCTAATAGACGCCGGGTGAAGCGCTACTCTGGGGTTAAAGCAGCCAAAGTAATTAAAAACCTCCCACAGCTTAGAACCAGCCACGTCGTCCACCTTTAACTGGGTAATCAGACTAGAGTTGCGCACGTTAAGTTGGCTAAGTTGAGCTCTTGTTATTGTTTTTGTTACTGTTTTTGCTGTTTTTGCTGCGAGTTGACCCAACGTCGAGTGGTCAGAGCCTGAGCCCAACRCAGCGCAGCGCAGCGAAAGTGGTAACAGAAAGCCAGCCAAGTTGGCCACAACAGAAACAGAAAAAGAACCGTTTTTCACATTTAAATAAACGTCGTCTAGTTAGAAAAGTCTCAGCTCTGGGCAAACTGTCGAAACCTGAAGAAGATTTGTCCAAATCGCTGCCGGCCAACAGATCTATGCCAACCGTTGTGTCTCCTATTAGCCGGTCTCTGTTTTAATTTTCGTGCTTTTGGTGTCTTATTTCATTTGTTTGTGTTGTCTGTTGTCTTCGCGTTTTGTTCCCTTTAGTAGCGTGTTGAGGGCTAAGTTCAGAAGCTGACCATAAATCGTGTCAGATTTGCGCATTCACCTCAATCAGCATTACCTGAACTGAACTGAACTGAACTCATAGATAAGATAGAGATTATTATAAATACTATTTAAATCCCTTATTTATATCTGCCTCTGTTTCTTGCAGACTGGTATACATGAGTTACGACCCAGATCCATGGACGGTGTCATTGACTCGGGCGTTTCGTTAAATGGCGACACCGGCTCGAGTCCCGACAATGGCGAACACCTGCAAAATCAACAGGTGAGTCAACTACTCAATTATGTAAAATATATGAAATATAATTAATTCATTAAGTTATTAATTATTACATTTTATTTATATAATCTATATATATAAAAGAAAGTTGTGTAAAAGTGAAGACTGCTTATAACTTGATTTGGGCTGAACCAATTTTCATGGTTTTTGATTTGTTGGATTTGTCTCCGCAACGAGTTTAGTATAGGGTCTTAAAAATACTGAAAAAATTTGCCGAATACTTGAAAAACGCGGTTTTTTCCCCAAATGTTCAAATTTTTTTTATACCCAGTAGGCTTGGTAACAGTGACAGTTTTGACAATAGTGTAGAAGTAAATAAACAAATGTAGTCAGTCAGTCTACGGTCTCCTGACCTCGAGCAGACCTGACTATTCAAAAAAAAAAAA